GGCCCTGTGCGAAAAGTAAACACAAGCCCTTCTCTATATACAAAATATCAATAATTTTCAATTTGAATCCCTAAAATGCTAGTAAACACAAGCCCTTCTCTATATACAAAATATCAATAATTTTCAATTTGAATCCCTAAAATGCTAGGGAACAAAATATTACTGATCAGACATTAAAATATTACTTGATTTAAGAGCACCAAGGTATACACGCTTATCGCGTCGGAACTTCTTCGACGACGTGTCTCCAACTCTCCTTGATCCCTGAAGTTTAAGAGCCAAAAAGTTTATTAGGAACCAGTTTAACAAATCCTGCAATAACAAAAAAAAAATGGGTGAAACAAGAGTTACTTCTGGTCATCTCAGTTAGGTATAATTACATCATGACTCGAGGTACCAGCTTGTAATTAATCCTTCTTTTTTTTACAACGAAACCCCTAAGTTTTTACAACGAAACCCCTGAGTATCTTGAGTTCAGCAGCTCTCCTTTCTTTACCTTAACATTCAACTGAGTCCAGATTACTCTCTTCTTCATCTAATAAGAACCACTAAAGATGCCTTTTTGAAAGAAGTTCAAATTCTAGATTATAATTCGATGAAGTAAAAGTAAATGCAGCAAAACTAGCAGCAAAGAAAATTAAAAACTCACAAATTTGTTTAACATACAATTCCAAAAACAATCAGTCTAATAATTCTAGCAAAATAGCAATTTGATCAGAAATGTGGTTGTACACTCATCAATAGCAATTTGATCCTCCTGCACTACCGAAATTAGGGTTTTTGAGGCGAGCGGTGACGGCGAGGTCTGGCGACGAGGCGAGGCGAGCGGCGACGGCGATCGCGGGGGTCTGTGGGGCGGAAGAGAGGGGAGACGGAGGAGAGCCTGGAGAGGGGTGGGTGGATTTTGGGGTTGAGATTTTGGGGCGGAAGAGAGGGGAGACTGAGGGTTGAAGGGATTTTAGGGTTTTTGAGTATGAATGAACGGTCGAGATTCATTTGAGTAGTAGAAAATGAACGGTTGAGAGTAGGTGACGGGATTTTTTTTGGGCCCCCAATTTTTGGGGGCCCTGTGCGGTCGCACCTCTTGCACAGCCCCAGAGCCGGGCCTGAGCATGATATAACCAAACACATCGAGATCGATAGGTTCTTCATCAAAGAGAAGTTGGACAGTGGACTACTGGAGTTAAGTCATGTTTTAACTAAAGATCAGGCAACAGATTGTCTGACTAAGGAACTTAGCTCAGTAGATATGATTAGAGGATGTGACAATATGGGCTTAGTGGATATCTTTCGCCCATCTTGAGGAGGAGCGTTGACATATTAGTATAGTTAAGAGAGTTATTTGTAAGATGTGTTTGTAGGGGCCTATATAAGCTCATGTTATCTCATTAATAAAATTAGGGTTTCTCAATTTCTTCACTTTTACCATAATCTTTGAAAAGAACTAATTACTTACTATATTTCTACAATTACTTTGCTTTATGGTGTGCATTAAATGCTCTTCAAGAAGTTAATATACCAAATAATACACAGGGAATCCTAGAAGCAATATGTCAGTTAAAAAGTTTTGAAGTCTCTTCCAGTTGCTTAATGCGGAACCTAGTTGCTACATAGGTAAAGAACTAAAGATGGTCATTTGTATTTGAAGGCAATGTAAGCAAACCTTCTTGAAGAAGCCAATCTTTATTTCTCCTTTCTATTTATACAAATTATCTAATCAGCTAGACTACATATCGATCTTTTCAGTTCACACCCCAACCCCCCTTGATGCCCCCTAATCCCCACAAAATAACAAGTACAAAAGCCAAAATGGTTTCCTATGTACAACTCTTACTATTATTCACAGAAAACTAGTGTCAGGATCTTAAATAATCAACTCTACATGTCCACATGTTCCCTTGAGAAGACAATTACAAGCTTAATGAATCCACTATCCTGGTTATAGATGCTTCGTTGCGGTGATTAACAGAAAATGTTTATCTGAATATTCATAAGATGCCACTAATACATATGCAATCTCCAAACGACCTCCCAGTAATGTTGTGCACAAGAATAAAAGAAAAGGGAAAAGGGGAAAAATGAGAATTTTGGGACACATAATGCTCCTTTAATCAGCAACTACAGCTATGCGACTTTTGGAATGGTAAGTTTCAGAAAGCAGCTAACTGCCCATAGCAGGTATTGGTCTTCTCTTCCTTCACGAAGTGACTGGTAATTGACGCTTGGGATGGTTTTGCTGAAAACAAGTGAGGAAATAGAAAAGGAAAATGTATGGGAGGAAAATGCATGGGAATTAAAAAGACAGGAAGCCTTTCCAGACTGAGAGCTTATACACATTACTAGGAGAAAAGCAACCTTTTAGAACCCTGCTTTCCACACCCAAAAGGGACGCCATGACTCACCAATCATTACATCAAGGTGATAAAAGTGTTCTTTTATAGGGAGGACCCTTACAAGCTTCAGGTTATCTTTTGGCATGTTGAAAGTGGGCACAAAGGCATTACTCATCCTTAAAATGGACAGCACTAGAAGAAATCATGCCGTTAGATGACTGATCCCTGCTAGAATCTGGAATAGCCAACAAAAGTAGTTAAAAGTTCTTAAGCCAGCATATCATATCCAAGTCTTAAACTCAGAAATGAATAGCGCAAAAACAATGGGAAGTTCTTAAGAACATGCAATGTTGAAAAAGAAAGAAAAAGCAGATATTGTTTACTATCCATATTCCGTACTACGCTAATAAGGCAACTGCCACTGGTTCGAGATTCCAATAATTAGCAATTAATTGAACATGTAACTTTTCATCTTCCCTGTCATAATTATTCTTTTTTATGTCCTTTCTACATCTAAAATAAATCTGAAATTCCAACTCCATTGACATTAATGATTCATCTACGACTGTCTTTACGAGTGCAACAACATTATAATTTATAATACCAAGTCCAGTGTACAAGGGGATTCAAGAAAAAGAAAACCAATATTGGAGACACTTAACCACCACTGAAATGCACTTTAGTAGAAATGCATCTCCATGGAATCCAGTAAAAAGAACATCAGAAGCACATGGAGATTTTAAGCTCAATAATAGTTAGAAATTTATAGCCATAGAGTACAGTGCGAAATACAGCAGCAGCAGCATGAAGATTCCAGGAACTTCTGTACTCAATCATAACTATGAAATGCTTTACTTTATCATATCTTCCTCTGCTTTGTGTGAATCCACTCATGCAGCATATGCTTGAAGTCCAACTAATTACACATACAAGATGATCACAAATGAGACAACAGCCACCTTAAAGATTTCTTAAAAGTTCTTTAATGTAGATCAGACATACCTAAAAAGACGGAAGGAGCGAAAACAAGAAATTTTAGAAGAGCCATATAGATGAGATGCAGCACTCTGATACAATGTCCTCTCTCGTGGAATCTCCTAGATGCAGAGGGGAAAAGAGTTGAAAGGAGTAGAGCCCTAGTAAGGAGATAAACCAGTCAGGTAGAATCAGATTAGGCTTTCTGACAGACATGTATGCCATCATCTTAGGTTCCCGAGACCAAGGCTATCGATAGCGGATAGCGTTGCGTAGCGGTGAGGCATCGCTAAGGTTATTTGAGGCTATTGCGGCAAAATAGCGGTAAAAAGCACAAAATCAAATAGCGGTCTAATTTAGATATGTGTAAATACTAAAAAAAGATTAAAGAAAAATCTAGAAAATCTAAAAGTTCAAATTTGATGATTTAAAGAGATCCTAAACATGACATAGACATGTAATCGTCACATAATGCCAAAGACGACTGGAGGAGAAGTCAAAGAGTCGTCGTCTTCAAGAAGATGAGCTGAGCGGTGAGAGGACTGTCCTAGAAGGAGCTCACGGTGAAGGAGGTGAGAGGAAGTGCTGAGTTAGGTGCCAGAGGCTATGAGAGGTGGCGGGAGCACACTGAAAATTGCGGGAGGCGGTGGAATACAGTGGTTAAAGGTCGGGTTTAATTTTAAAAAAATAAATCCCAAACCGGTTTTAAATAGCAGTCAAAAAGTGGATTTTGCACGCAATCGCCCGCTATTTATCGTTAGGGCGCTATT